CTGGCATCAGGGTAGACTAGCTGGCTTGTCTCTAGATAGAAAATCATAAAAGCACTCAGTTAAACACCTGGGCACTTCCCTGTGACCCAGACTCGTGGACACTGATTGTGTTTGTCTTGGACCCTCATCTTATTTAAATATATTTACACCAGGCACAGGCTGGTCTTGAAAGAGCCCTTGGGACCCTCCTCTCCATCAAGGAACTTGGAGAAGCTGTGCTCTTATCCAGTATTGGGAGATCCGGGAGTCTGTTGGTTCTCCAGGAAGAACCTTGCTTTCTTCCCTTCCTAGTACCCAATACTAGTATATATACACTAGTATACCTAGTATAGTTTGAATATAACCCTCAGAACTTACGTATTGGAAATGTAGTTCCCAAAGTTGTGTGTTAATAGTGTTTGAAAATGGCACCTTAAGGAGGTCAGTGGGTCAGAGCGGCTCTGCCTGGAGGCATTCCTTTACAGGGGTTTGCTTAACTCGGGGATCAAATCCTCACTTTCTTGTGGAGTCTACAAGTAGATTTTAACTTCCAAAGGAAAAGCAAAAGGGCTGACCTTAGCAGATTACATTATGTTATGAACCCCAGGTAGGAAGAACATTGCACAGGAGTGTAGGGGACAGCCTCAGTGGCAGTGTGAACCTCGCTGATTCAGGATGTACAGTTGCCAAACCTTAGGAACAAAATATGACCTCAGCTCGTATAGAAAAACTGATCCCCAAAGTAAATGTCATGACCATCTGTTTGAGTACCAGATCAGTTACCAGAGAAGCAAATTAACCAGTATCCAAGCAGACTGGACAGCCAATAGACAGTCCAAACGCAGCATCTTTGGGTAGACACCAAGTCTAATATGTCTTTTCTCATTTGAGAGTGAACAAAGAAAGAAGACATATGCATAATAGAGGAACCATTTTTTTAAAAAAAATATATTGAATGATAAGGCTGAAGAGATGGCTCAGTGACCACAAGTGTTTACTGCTTTTCAGGAGGTCCTGAACTGCGACCTCAGCACCCACATTTGGCAATTCCCAAATGCTCGCATCTCCAGCTCCAGGAAATTCGATGCCCTCTTCTGACCCCTGTGGGCACCTGCATGCATGTGGCATATACTCATACAAAAACACACATACATGTGAATAAAAAATAAAATAACTTCTTAGATAAAATACTAATAAATCTATGATATATAGATATGGCTATAGATATAGAGAGAGAGAGGGATGAATGAAGGCAGAGAAGAGACTGCCATCTGGAGAATATACATGGTGATAGCTTACTGAATGAATAGTGCCTATCAGAAACTATCAGAAAATATCCATATGAATCTTAGTAGAACACAAGAATATATAGTCTGTAAAACATGAACATTAAGACTCTTGAATAAAAAGATACAGAGAAAAGGTTGGGTTTTTTTTGTTTGTTTGTTTAATGATGAAGAAATGTATGAAGAGGCAGACAAAATAAAGCGGGGGCAAGTAAATACAAATCCCAACAAAGAAATGTAGATTTCAACACTTGCACAAAAATGCAAAGAGGAAGTGTAGGAAATCCCATCAGAGCTGCCAGAGGAAACTGCAGGATGCAGGCCACACAAGGAAACTTGGTGATGGAGAGGAGCTTAATAAACACGGGAGGCTGAGCACAGGACCTAGCTGTACATTATCTGTCTCTGCATCCTAGGAGGCTGAGCACAGGACCTAGCTGGAGCATTACCTGTCTCTCCATCCTAGGAGGCTGAGCACAGGACCTAGCTGGACATTACCTGTCTCTCCATCCTAGGAGGTTGAGCACAGGACCTAGCTGGAGCATTACCTGTCTCTGCATCCTAAGCGTCAAAGAAGAAAACAGAACCCAGAGCAGCAATGCTACGTAACCGATGTCTGTGCACAGAGCATCCAAACTAAGAGGCGATGCTCCACCTTAGGAGAGCCAATAGAAAGGAACGCACAACTAGGGCCGTACTAGAAAACTTCAGCTACAAAGGAGGGAAACAGATGCCTTTCCTTCAGAATTATAAGTGCTACAAGGGGAGCAAATCTAGTTGACTGAAAGCAAAGCAAAGAGCTGCAAGATGAAGTCAATTGAAGTCCAGACTGGGGGAGTCAGATATAGAAAGTTATAACATTTGGGGTTAGAGATCCCACACTCTAATATTATAGGCACAGGAGCAGAGATTAGAACGGGAGGTGGCAGGGACTTAGGGCCTGGCATGACAGATTCTTCTTGATTGTGGAGGTGGGGGTTGGAAGATCCCATCAGAGAAAGCCTGTGTGAAAATGATTGGCATGAATCTCTAAGGGGAGCAGTAGAATCAACACAGCATCTATATTTTCTACAGTTACGGGAATGATTCACGCAAACAAAGCAGAGGGTGGCCAAAGACGGAAAGTAAAGTAAGTACTAAGGAGGCAAGAGGGTGATGGCGTCTGCAGAGAAGCAGACATTAAGTGAGGACTTGTAAGAGCATGCTGGGCAGGGCTTATTGTGCGTGGTACTCAGAACCCACATTAGAAGCCAGGCACAGTGGCTCACGCTTGTTATTGCAGCACTGGTGGTGCCCTGGAACCCCCTACTCAATCAACCAAGCCAAATCAGTGATCCCAGGCTCAGGGAGAGGCTCCGAGCAACCTGTCCTAAACTGAATGAAAAGGAAAGTGAGCTGAGCACCAGCGTTCATCTCTCTTTGCTTCCTGACTGCAGACACCATTATGGCCGGCTGCTTCAGGCTGGTAACCCCATGACTTCTCCACCATGATGGTCTGTACCCCCAAAACAATGGGCCAAAATAAACCCCCTGTTCATTAAGCTGCTTCTTATCAGGTATTGGTCACAGCAATGGGAGAAGCAACTAATAGAGATCCATAAGCTCTAAGAGCTAAAGAAGTGCAGGGATTTTTTTTTTCAGACGGTGAACTTCTCTGAGAAGTGGAATTCCAAGCACACGGCTGGATTTTAAAATATGTTGGAAATGTAAAACAATTTAAAGTGCAGGCTTGTTGCAGGAACTAACAGGACCTTGATTATGATAAAGCAGATGCTCTGGACACGGAGCCTGCTTCTAAATAAACAGAGGCTTCCAGAGCCGGTCAGAAAGGTACAGGTCATCTCCACCGCTGTTGTGGGGGAAGTTGTCTAAACGTTTGGAAGAGGAAAAAAATAAGTGAGATCTCGCCTCATGCCTTACACCAAAATAAATTTCAAATGGATTTGGAAGTCGAATATAAAAAAGAAACAAAATAATGAAAGAAAACATAGGTGAATACTTAACTACCCTTGGAAAGGGCAGGGATTTCCTAAGCCTGAAAGAAATGGAAGAAAACATTTTGGTGGTTTTGACTGTGAAACTTGAGCCCCTGTGTGTTTCTAGATGCATACGGAATTAAATCTAAGCACAGAGTGTGACAATAAGGGAAAGGGCCACTGTCACACACATCCAAACCTCCTGACCAGTGGGAATCCAGCTTACTTCCCAGAGGAAACCTAAGGAATAAGTCAGAGAAAAAGGCTTTCAAATGGCCAGATTACTATATAGGGAAAGACTGCTAAGCTTCAGGAAAAAAAATCAAGAGTCAAAATTATGATGTCATTCTTTATATTTTCTTACTTTATTCTTAATGTGATTTTGGTAAGACATTGGTGCAATTTTGGGGGGAGCCATTAGACAATATATCAAGTCTTGAGTGCTTTTTGTATCTTTGAATCTGCTTTTTAAGAATGTGGCCCAAGAAGAAAAGCAGAATTTTGTGTATGATGATGATTAGTTGCTGTGTTATCTACAAAAATGGGGAATTTCAAACCATACAAATGATCCAAACTGAGCATAGATTTTACAATCACTGCTACAAATTAGAATATAGGGCGTTGTGTTTTAAAATGATACTTTGTTAAGTTTTCCTAAGACTGACTTTTAAACTACCATAAGATGGTATGCATTCTATAAGAAATAGGTATTGCAGGCTAGAGATATGGCTCAGTAATGAAGTGATTGTCTGGCACGTGCAAAGCTCTCCAATCAGTCAATCAATATCATACTATAGATGTCTTTACAGGACAGTGACTCGCCTACAAAACAGTGTCAACATCAATTCTCTCTTTTGGTGGAAGTGCAATTGCCTTTCATTTCCTTCTTTATACTTTATGCATTTAAATAATTCCTTGATGACTATACATTGCTCCTATGAAGAAAAATAACTCTTTTTGGTTGTTGTTTTGTTTTTGTTTCAAACAGAATTTCTTTGTGTAGCCTTGGCTGTCCTGGAACTCACTCTATAGACTAGGCTGGCCTCAAACTCACAGAGATCCACTTGCCTCTGCCCCCCAAGTGACTTCCTGTGTTTGTGTAATAATCTTATCAGTTTCCCAAAACTAGCAAATATTTCTCACCATCATCTCTTTCGGAATTCTAAAACATTAGTAGATGTTTCCAGGTACAGAAGTGCGTATCCATTATCCCAACTGTTGGGAGGCTGCGGGGAGAGGCCACACTCAAGGCCAAGCAGGGCTATATAGTAAGGCTGTCTCAAAAGTAAAGAAAGGAGGGAGAGTAGGAGAAAAGGGGAGAGAAGGAGAGGGAAAGGTGAGGGAGGGGAGGAGAGAGACAGGAGAGAGAGCCCATGAATTCCCCATTGAACACCATGCTCATTAAACTCTTTATTCAGCTGCCTTTGATTGGGTGGTTCCTGTTTCACAATTAGGGGATGATGGATTTACTAGGGCAGAAATCCACCCTTATGATGAAGTAGTGAGTTAAAATAACAAGATTCCATGAACACGTTTTTAAACAAGGGACCTCTTAAGTCCTTGAATTCAGATTTGTGGTCATGCATGGTGGGGAGCGGGTGGCTGAGCAGGTGTATTATCAGTGTCTCTCACTCCTCTTGCCCTTGACTCTGGCAATAAGGAAACAAAGATCACGGAATTTGTGAGTCATTGTTTATTAACATGAAAGAGATCAGATCAGAAACTGTGCTTGTGAGCACAGGAGGTATCGGCAGGCTTAAAGCAGCCCGGTTAGAACAAACGCAGCAAGCCAGACAGCCGAGACCCGCCGAGTGACCCGAATCTCATTGTTGCCCAATCAACAATTGTTCTTTGCTGAAGATGCCTTTGCATTTTATTTCTTGAAACCCAGTAAAGTTCCACATGTAATGATTTCCCTAGAAACCTAGAGCAAATGGCCCAGCATGGAACATTTTATTTTTTTCTGAAAACTAACAATACATCTCGTGCCCTTTGTCTTTGAGTGCTCTGCGGCTCTTCAAATCCTTTGGTGTCTTCTGGGTAAGCACTTGACTCCATTAGGCCTGGGTTCAGTCTCCCTGGAAAAGGCCTGTTCGGCTTTTCCCTTGTGCCGGAGCCCCTCCAAACGGACACTCTTGTGTACTGCAGCCCAAAGCACGAGGCTCTGAAGCCCTGTCTGCTCCAGCCCTCTATCATCAAGAATCCACTAGGCACACATGGCTTCTGCCTTCCCCTTTGTGGACCCTAGGGTGATGTCTGGGGCGGGGATGTGTTTGTCCCCCATCCCTTTGTTTCCATCAGTCTGCAGAGATCTGACAGGCAGGGCTGGCAGGAGGCTGGAAGCCCAGAGAACCAGGTTGTTATTCCAGAGCTGGGACAAGGGGACATGAGGTGGCTAAAGGGTTGTGCTCCAGGTAGGGTGTGCCCAGGGATGGGGTAGCATGAGCCCAGAGCCACAGGGCAAGGGTGGTGTAGAGACTCGTGTGCATAGCAGGTACTAACTACTGCGTGCATAGCAGTAGGTAGGTGTTCAAAACAATAGCGAGGAAACCTTGAGTCTTTGGGGATTATGTAAATCCTACATATGATAGGTTGGGTCGAAATAAATGTTTAGCTTCCTTAACCAATCAGCTGAAACCAATGTCATCTCCAGAGTTATACCACCACGTGTGTGGTGAAGGTAAATATGAGCGTGAAGCATGCTAAAGATTTAAGTGGAAATGTTGTAAAAGCATGGCATGTTCATAGCTGCCTCTAACCCCATCACTGGGGAGGCAGAGTAGGAGGAAGGCAGGTTCGAGGCCAGCCTGAGCCATGTAGCAAGATTATGCCTCAAAAAAACAAAATAGAAATAAAAAGCGAACAAAAATTCTTTAAGTAAATGGTGGGAGACTCTGATTATTAATCTATATTTTAGTTTCAAGATTAGAACCTTCAAAAAATGCTGTAACAGGGGCCACCAAAGTGCTGATGGGAAACTACTCACTGGTCCTTTGTTCTGGGAAGAGAATGTCATTTCTTGTTGCCTCCAGTCACATATTGTATTCCCTTGGCAGCCTACAGAGTGTCAACTCTTCCTCGTCGCTTGCTTGAAGAGTCAGTTGTCTCTTTGTGCTGGACAGAGCCGGCGGCTACTGGGTGCTCATGCATGGAGGCCCATGTTCACACTAACAGTGAATGTGCCATAGCCATCCTGGACCAGTGCCCTCATTTGTAGTTCCCGGTCAGCATCAAGCCCCAGCAGCTTCATCTTCTCCATTGTCTGGGCCCCTCTCAACTCCCAGATGCCCTTGTTCCCCACTCAGGCCTCTGTAACAAGATACCATAGCATAGCTTATAGATGGCAGAAATTCATTCGTGACTCAGGCAGGGAAGATACAATCAAGGCACTAGCAGCTGCTGTGTTCTTGAGAACCCATCTCCAAATTCTGAAATAATGATCTCTCACCGGGTCCTCACAAGCTCCCTAAAGCCTTTTTAGAAGGACACAAATCCCGTTCATGAGGGGTCCATCCTCCTGACCTAATCACCTTCCTAAGCTCCAGCTCCTAGTACCATTGTCTAGGTACTAGAATTACGTGTTAACTGGGTGGGAATTACAAGCATTTAGACCATGGTATGAACCTCTTCCCATCCCCAGACAGAGGGAGATAATATGCTCTCCAGACATACAAGCTCTGCACGACGTGAAGAGAGAAGTCAGTCCCTTGGTCCTCAGAGAGCTGTCTCTTCCAGTGCACATTCTACAGATGTCCTCCAGTCAGGGCCCGAGAGTGTCTTGGAATGTCATAGAAAGTGGAACTCTGTGTTAAGACATGACACAGAATGAGCGAGGACGATAGCACAGTTGATGAAATGCTTGCCCTCAAGCATGAGGACCCGAGTTCAATCCCCCCCAGAAGCTACAGGAAAAGAAAAAGACAACTTTGTCAGGATATGCTGGGGTGGTAGATACAGGTGGATCCCTGGGACTCGGTGGCCAGCCAGCCAAACTTACTGTGTGACACCAAGCCAATCTCAAAATAACAAGGTTAATAACATCTGAGGAACAGCAGCCAAGGAGGTCCTCCAGCAGTCTGCATGCATGTACACAGATGCACCTGCAAGCACACGCACGGGGAGGTGGGGAGCAATGTCTCTTAGGGAGTTTTAGGATGCCCTATTACAGCAAGTTAAAGCCTTAAAAATGTAACCTGGTAACTTCACTTCCCTGGCCCTCTCCTATGTGTCCCAACTGGAACCCAGTAGACCCTTCTCTCTGCCGGAGCTCCCTGTGCACCCCTGATGGCCTGTAAGCTTTGTGGTCGGTTCCGCCACAGGGCCCCCTGCCGGTGTGCTCACCGTCACCTGTGTCATACCCCAGTTGTGTCGAGACCGGCCTCTCCGCACCATTTAAGAGTCTGAGTCAGAATTCCTAAACCAGGAACCTTGCCTTATTGCTAGACAGCTGGACCACCCCCAAAGCATCACATGGGAAGGGCATTCAGCAAATCCTGTTCCGGAAGCAATCTGTCACTCCACCAGTTTCCCCATCAGCATTTGCAGGGAGTTCTGTCTCCTGGCAGGGAACTGGCTCACAGCTCCATGCTGGAACTGGCAGCCTCTTAGAGACAGTTTCTCCTTCTCAGCATCATCAGATGAGGCCCAGAGTAAAGGCGCAAACAAGCCTTAAGAACGGCATGTTCTTCACCGTAACATGCCAGGAAAGCTGGGCTCAGAGAAAACTGAGCGCTCGGTGATGTCCTGGAGCCACACGTGCCAATCTGGCTGTCCAACCTTTTCCCTCCTGATCCCATCCGCTGACCGATTGGGAAGCTCTTGAACTTCGCACTCTGTTCTGTAAACATCCAGATTTACCTGGGAGCAGAAGATAGGTCAGCCTTTGCCTCCCATGCTCCTGGGCACATGTTCCTTAAAACTCCTGTTTTTGGAGGGACTTGCCATGGAGAGAATGGCCCCATCGGTGCCTAATCTTGCTCACTGCTTGCTCATAGTTCCTAGGTGGAGCCAAAGTGTGGAAGGTAGCTGTGCCTGAAGAGTGTGAGATTTGCCCTGTGGAAACAGGTTATGGCCAGATCAGGCCCTTAGAGGAAGAGGCTGTGTATCAGGCTTGTCCTGGAGGGCAGGGTAGGGAAAAAGAAACAAGTGCAAATGCACATGAGATGAGGGTGTGCAAACGTGCCTGCATGGGTGTGTGCATGCATGCCTGCATGGGTGTGTGCATGCATGCCTCCACCTTATTTTTTGAGATAGGACTTTTCACTGTCCTGTGGCTCATCAACTGGCTAGACTGGCTGACCATTAAGGCCCTGGGATCCTCCTGTCTCCACCTTCCTTCATGTTTATGTTACAAGCACATGCTGACCCTCCGTTCTCTTTTGCCCCTATGTCTTCCAGGCATTGTTTGTCTTTGAGGAGTATCTACAGGAGTCTTGGGGAACCAATTCTTTTCAGGAGCAGCTAGGACTTCCCCTGTGGCCTCACTGGTATCAATGCCACTGCATGCTCTTGATCTCTATGTCTCAGTGACACCAGGGGCTTTCTTGATTCACTCCCTGGACAACTGTTGGTTCTGAGGCAGACACTACAGAGACCACTTGTGACCGGAACACACTGTCAGTTTGACAGTTGAATCCCAGAAGCCACTAGGATCACAACTTTGAGTCAGATGCTACAGTCCCCTTTGCCAAGTTCAAGGCATCAAGCAGATGTGCAGTTCTCTACCCTTTTTCATCCAGGAACAACCCTGGACCGGCCCTGAGCCTGTTGTCTGTGTGTTCGCTTGGCTCTCTGTGCTCTGTCCGCTCTCACCCACCCTTCAAAAGAAGGGTGTTTGCTCTCATCTCTTACCCCTCCCCACCTCCTAGCTGAGACTAATTTCACCACCTCTTCACCGGGACTATGTCTGTCTATTCTGAGACAAGAGGTGATTGCGATCTGTGAAATTACAGGCTCATCCTGGCTTAGCCACTCGTTGGCTTTATGTAGTGCACATGTTATTCAGCCTCTTGTCTACCCTTGGGTCCCACCAGCTCGGCACCTTGTTGCCATAATGAACTCATAACAGTGACTACCACTTGTAGTAGTCAAGTGGAGATCCCTCCGAGTGCTGCCACCGTTACCAACGATGCTCATTATCTTCTTGGGTACCAGAGGACCAAGGATCTGCACTCTCCCTCAGTCTCGGTACCATGTGGCCCCGTCAGTCCTGCTCAGTGGAGAAGCCAAGTGCATGCTCTCTCACTGTGTGCCCTCTCCCCCTCCGCCTCCCCTTCTCCCTCTCTCCCTTACCTCTCTTCCCCTTCCCTTTCTTCCACACATCTCTGCCTAAGCCCCGAAATCCCATCAAGTTTCTCTGGCATTAAATTTATATTCAAATGTGATCATATTTTCATAAGAAATCAATTTGTAGGTCCATGGCTTTTGAAAGGACAGTCTGCGCGTCTGATCATCAGTCAAAATAACTAATTTCCGGAGTTGAAAGTCCCTTTTTGTCGCAGAGATGTGGCATATGGGTTTGGTAGTCAGCACTCTCTCCTTACCTGGTATCTCAGGACTCCAGGCTCCTCGGGCCCCTGACACTAAACCTCTCCGTTGTCTGCGTTCATCCGCCCACTCCCACCCTCGGAGAGGCTGAAATTCACATCCTTTCGCTGTCAGTGACCTCAAGCAAAGAAAACTGGCTGTTTTTCTGCAATGTCAGAGAACATGATTTTTGCTTACACGGGGTGAGGTGTGGTATTATAAAATTTGTTTGCTCTTGTTTTCAGCTGCTGGGATGGGAGTGGGAGAAGGTTTCACTGGGTCAGCTCACAGGAAACAGTCCTGGCTTTTACAGCGAGTCCCTGTTTTGAGCCTTTGTCCTTTCTGTTGGCTTGTAAGCAGAAGCCATGAGCAAGGATGCTCTCAGAAGGGAAAAAAAGCAGCAAAAAATAGGGAATTATTTTCTAATGCAAAACAGATCGTTTAAAGGGCTGAACTTGGAGGCAGTTGATTTCTGTGCACAGCCAAACAATGTCCCTCTGTAGCTGTGAACCCTGAATGGGCAGGGTTACTGCCGGTCAGTGCTGACACATCCAGGCTGTAGGCAAGAGAGTGCAGCTGTGTGCTCCCCGGAGCCTCTGATTCCTGGGCCTGTGGCTGGACCCTCTGGAGCCTCTGAATGCTCCCCGCTCTGACCTGTTCTCCACCACAGTTCCCCATGGCAACCCCAGAGCAAGTTTGAAATCCAAAAAGACACCAGGAGGCAGAAAGGGGGAGCATGGTGGGTATATTCTGTGGCATTGACCGGCATCTAACCTCTATACTAGCTGGTGTTCATGGATGTTGGTTTCATTATTTGTACTTCGTAATTCATACCACACAGAATCTCTGAACTAAAAAGCCATCTAGAAGATCCTCTGATGGATTAAGAACTGCACTGATATTTTTTTAAAACTCCCACACCATTTTGGAACACTTGGGAGCTGACTATTGTAAGTAGGAGGAAGAGTTGGTATGTGTACCTATGAATGTATGAACATGTATGTACAGAGGTCAGAGGTCAACTGTGGGTGTCATTCCAGAGGGTCCATCCACCTTCCTTTTTGAGACAAGCCCTCTCATTGGCCTGAGACTCACTGAGTAGGCTAGGCTGCCTGGTCAGCAAGACCTAGGTAGGAATCCTCCTATCTCCACCTCCACAGTACTGGGGTCACAAGCATGCTTCACCACGCCTGGGTTTTTGCTTTTTCTCATATGGTTTCTGGAGGAACCAATCTCAGGTCCTCACTCTTGCAAAGCAAGCGCTTCATGGATTGAGCTCTCTCCTCAGCTCCATATACTTTCTTCACCCTGAGGAAACAGCCTGGCCGCCTGGGTAATGGTGGTGGCAGCAATGACACTGTTGACAATGATGCAGATAGCTAACACTGACTTAATATTAACACTGCCGTTAGTAACAGTAGCAGTGTGCCGACGTGTAACACTGTCACTAGTCTGGGCACTCTTTGAAGTACTATACATGTATCAGTGCATTCAGTTTTCACAGTGACCCTGTGTGATGCTCAGAATCACTGCCCCAACTTTACAGAAAAGCTGACTGAGAGGTTGGAATATTTTTCTAAAGCCGAAATAGCTAACGGGCAAATATTTGACCCCAACATAGATGGGGTCCCATCACAGTGCCCATGGGAAGTCAGACATGCCTGCAACATCCATTCAAGCAGCCCGTGTCCAATTATTTCCTAAACATTCTGGGATGTTCATTAAATGCTCATGTGACCCAGGTCTCTGGGGTAGCAATTTGCTGATTTCAAAGAAAGCCTGGTGGTGCCACCCCTGCCCACCTGCCTGCCCACCTGCCTGCCTGAGTCCTTGCCTCTACTTCCCCCTGTCCATCAGGACCTGGACTAAATCATTGATTGGCCTTGTGGCTAAGGCTGTTACTTCATTCATTCTTCTGGGGCACTGGCTTTGTTTCCTTTCTTGTTGCTCTGATAAAATATTCTCACAAAAGCCTTTCAGCTCACAGTTCAAGGGATAATCCATCATGGTGGGAAGTTGTCATTCACACGGCCCAGGATCCCAGCCAGGGGATGGTGGCACCCACAGTGAGCAACTCTTCCCATCTCAGTTAACACAATGAAAATAATAGCACAGATATCCCCAGAAGCACATCTCTCAGATGATTCTAGATTCTGTCAACTCAAAGATTTATGTCAGTTCAGAACCTTCAGAAACCATCTCATGTACTGACAACCGTCCATGTCCCCAGTGGTTCCTCCTCACAGGTAGAAACAGTAGGAAGGAATGAGACTCTGTAGTTGTTAGGGAGGTGGACTATTCTGCAGCCTAAGAGTGCCAGGGTTGAAGGAAGGACAGTCTCAGCAAAGACCCCGAGGCTCCTTTCTTGTCATAGCATTACCCATCATGAATAGACAAGATATTCCCATCTGTCATGGCTGCCCAGTCCTCCAATCTGATGTGATTGTCCATCTGCCTAGGTCTGTACTTATTCCTAAACATTTATGTAAAACACACATGTCCTTGGCTCACCTAGCTACCTGGAACAGGTACGTCACATGGGTGCTTCTCAGTCTTCATAAACTTATTTGAATATACCTCACCTGGACATCTTCCATTGTCCAGAAATGATGTAACCTTTAACCCATGCTGGGTTCTTTCAGTGTTGGGCTTGACAGCCTATAATTTCAGAGTAGTCACCTCAAGGCAAAAAGTAGGAATATAATTAATACTTTACATTTCTACTAAAGTCCTGAGATGACAGAATAGACTTTCCATTCTGAAATGGCCAATACTACAGCACAGATGTGTTTTTTCAACGAGTGTCTCCTACTCTTAATGGCTGTGGAACTGTTATGAGCTTCAAAGAGTTTTTGTTTTTTTAACAGGGTTCCTCAATAGGTATTGGGTCATTTCTACAGACCCCAAGGAGTGCAGTTAGTGATTCTACAGGTTATGCACAAGGGAGAGGTTGATCTCTACTGTAGGCAGAGGGGCTGCATTTGGGAACTGATTTAACATGGCAGGACTTGGGTGGAGGATTTCTTGTACCCATGGAGATCAAAGGTCAACACTGGGTGTCTTCCTCAATCACTATTAACCTTATCTTTTAATTAATTAAAATCTTAATTATATGTATGGTGTGAGTGCAGGTTCCCATGGAGATCAGAGGGATCAGATAGCCCTGGAACTGGAATTAGAGAAGGCTGTGATCTACCACTGTTGGTTCTGGTAAT